GGCACTGGAGGGTTATTAGCCAGGCAATCATGATCCGATTCCCACAAATAGAGTTTTCATTACATTGAACAATGGTGTATGGCAGAAACTCTGATGTCCTCTCTATGCCGAGAATCTAAGATTCCATCATAAATTACTGCCTTTCATTGTAGAACAACAGACACAATCATCATTAATGAGTTTGCTATTCATTCACATGGGAACCGGCCTGCGCTGCTGCATTGCGATGTCTGCCTGGTCATCAGACAGTGTGGAAACCCAGCTTCTGCCACCCGCTCACTGTTGACCTTGGGCCAAGTCCTCTCAATTCAATACAGAGACAGTATCGGGAGACCGCCACCTCCCTTCGCCAAGCCCAGTCCGGTTCCTGGGTGCGTGGCAGTGGCGGGGGTGGGGGGGAAGCTGCAGGGCTGGCATCTCTAACTTTGGGGCCTAGAGCTCACTGGTGCTCACTGCCACTCCCCAGAGTCCTCAGGATCCTGCGTTTGCTCTTAGCACTCCAGCCCAAGTGTCAACTCCTTGGCCACGGAGCCAGAGGACGATAAAAGCTTCCTATGGCTGATATTTGTTCACCAAAACTGAGGGAGATATGTCTGCACAGTGTGGCAACAAAGCGTTCTGTGCTTGCAAACACTGTCTCCTAGTTTTTCCTGTCTCCATGTGGGGAGAGCCATCTTTCCCCGGCCCGTGGAAGCTCAGACCGTTGTCGGATTCAAAGACCAAGTCCAGAGGCCAAAAGAAATAAAGTGTTCACCCTCAGGCAGCTGAAAGCCCACCTCCACGCCCCTGGATTATTAAAGTACCCCTTCTTAAAGATGGGCCCTGAGGATGCCCACCTTTTACCTAGGAGCATGGCTTTTTCCTGGGCCTCAGCTGTACAAGCCCATCAGACCATAACACCCTGAGCTCAAGTTGTTGACGGCAGACACTGGGTGGGATCCACTCTAGCAAACAGATTTTAAAAGACATCTTCAACTTAGTCAATTTGTGGTTGGTAGTGTCAGGATGGATAGTGAAGAGATTGAGATTGTCAACAGCTTTAGTCTGCTTGGCTCCACAGTCAACACTCTTGGTACCAGCAACCAGGAAATTGAAAGACGTGTTTCAATGGGAAAGTCTGCTGTTAGGGACCTCTCCAAAGTACTGAAGAGCAATGTTGTCACTCTGAGGACTAAGGTGCGCTTGATACAGGCCATGGTCTTTGCAATCACTTGTTATGCGTCAGAGAGCTGGACAATGACTATGGAAGATAGAAGGAGAATCGATGCCTTTGAGCTGTGATGTTGGAGAAGAGTATTGAATATACCATGGACTGCTAAGAAAACAAACAGGTTCATCCTGGAGAGAGGTTAAACCTCCTTGCTCCTTGGAGGCAAGGATTCTGAAGCTTCATCTGACAAACTTTGGACATGTTGCAAGGAGGGACTAGTCCTTGAGAAGGACGTCATGCTTAGGAGGATGGAGGGAGAGCAAAGGAGAGGAAGACCCTCAATGAGGTGGATTGATCAGTGACTGGGGTAATGGGAGTAGGTGTGAGATAGTGCAATTGGCACAGGATAGAGCAGAGTTTAGGACTGTTGTACATAGGGTCGCTATGAGTTGTAGGCAACTCGACAGCACATAACAACAACAACAACAACAGTATATGGTACCAACAAGTCATTATATCGGGAGACATTGCATTGGGCAAGTCTGCCATCAGGGATTGCTCCAGATTACTGAGGAGCAATATCAGTTTGAAGACTAAGGTGTGCCTTTTTCTGACCATGATCTTTTCAGCCACTTGCTATGCATCTCAAAGCTGGACAGTGGACAAGGATGACAGAAGAAGAATTGATGCCTTTGAACTGTGGTGTCAGAGAAGAGTGAACAGGAGAACAAAAGAATATGTCTTGGATTTGGATATGGGTACAGCCAGAATGCTCCTTGGAGGCAAAAAGGACAAAGTTTCATCTCACATATTTGGGGCATGTAGTTAGGAGAGGCTAGTCCTTGGAGAGGGACCTCATGCTTGGAAAGGTGGAGGGATGGAGAAAGAGAGGAAGACTCTCAACCAGATGGACAGACATAGTGACTGCAGCAATGGGCTCAAGTGTGCCAGGGATGGTGAGGATGGCACAGGACAGGGCAGGGTTCAGATCTGTTGTTCACAGGGTTACTATTAGCCGTGCTTGACCAGAGAGCACCAACAACAGTATATTGATATAATCGTTCTGAAGTTAACTTTAGCATCTGGTATAGGATCGAGCAAAAAAATATTTTTATGTTGGAAACCAGGGGTCTCACTATGGGACAGGAGATCTAAAAATGTGAAATAGGAATGAGCAAGCAAGTACTATGTCCTGCTGGATCTAATCTGTACCTGTCACTGGACACACGGGGTCATTATGAGTCACTGTCAACTCTGAGCAACCATCAACAGCAAATACCTCTCTATAAACAGACAGCCGAGCGAAGGGCCTTTGAAATAATGATGAATGAGGTACATTGAGCACATCAAATGCCTGGACCTTGGTGTCTCAGTATCACTCTCCAATAAAAAGAGCCAGCATTCCGGGTTGGGCAAAGAAGGAAAGCATAAAACATCTTGTTCTAGGAAGTGAAAGATATGCTGCAAAATATTATGGGGATATGTTGGGAAAAGCACAAGAGGCGGCATGAAGGAGTTTTCCACTGTGTAGATTGGGGGTGGAAAACTCTACCCAAATGAACAGTGAATGTTATGAATGATAAGACAGTGAATAGAAAGAAACGTACCACTAGAAATGATAAAATTGAAGGAAGGGTAGATGCTGGTTCACAATGGAATGCCAAGCGTTTACATGGGATGGTGGCATTAGAAAAGCTCTACTTTTAATGACTGAAGTAGTCAGTGACTCAAGAAGCACTTGAGGGTGCTGAAACCACTGAGCTGACGCTTGTGGGGCAGCAAGATACGGACATGGTCTCAAAGGGGATCCCACGGACTGATTCATTTCTTTACAAAGGGGAAGTTATCTGGCTCAAATGGAGAAATCTGGCAGCTTTCACCTTAGCCCAGGAGTCTCAGGCAGCATCGCCAGTAATAGGACAAAGTGCCATCGTGTGTGAGAGGAGGCCAGCCTGTTCCTGATGTCGGTCGGTCTCCTGCCAAAAATGCATAGCCTGCCTCAATTCTTAAAAAATCACACAAGTGCAAATTGAGGGACATTAAACAATACAATTACATGATTGGGATGTGTTGAAATAGCATGAAAGCCAGAAGTAGACTGAGTGAGTGTTTGAGAATAAAGAAGACTACAGAGTATGCAATTGCAATGCACAGTCCTGGATTGAGTCCTGCTTTGGGGAAAAATCAGTTACTTTACAGGACATGATTGGACTACGTTGTAAAATCTGTAAGTAGATAGACTGTTAGGTAATAGTACTATATCAGTGTTCAATTTCCAAAATTGAGTAATCCTATGTGATAATCTCCTTGTTCTTAGGAAATAGAGATATTTATAAGTAAAAGGTCTAGAAAGGGGCAGGGTGTATGTTCATGTGAGGTTTCCACCTCCCGTCATTATCTAACTGGTTCTCTCCTGGAGTTTCCCAGTTCATGTGCTTCAGAGAGGATGGGCTTGGGCAGGATTCTCTCCTTCAGCCCTCTGACCTCACAGGTCTCTGACCAGCCTCTGGATGGCCTGCCTAGGGCTCAGGGGCCCATCACTTGTCCAGTCAGCTCTGGCCCAGAATGGGTCATGTGGTGTATACCATGAATGCCCCCACTACACCTTCAGAGGTCTCCTTCAGAAGGGCCTAACAGCCTGGCTGGTAGATTCTATATCAAAGGCCTTGTGTTTGAACTTTAAGCTTCATTCTTGCCCTCATTCATTACCCATGACTGCTTGGTGTCAGGTCTTGTACTAGGCTGTTGTTGGTTGTTGTTGTTGTTATCTGCTGTTGAGTTGCCTGTGGCCCTACGTACAGCAGCTCTGAACCCCTGCCCTGTCCTAAGCCAGTCTCACTAATTCTGACACACCTACCCCTATGGTCAGTTACTGTATCAGCCCATCTCATCCGGGTTCTCCCTCTCCTGCACTGTCCCTCAACCCTTCCAAGTATGATGTCCTTCTCTAAGGACTGGTCTCTTCTGTCCACATGCTCAAAGTATGGGGACATAGAAATCATCCAAACGGTACTTTCAGAAGCTCTGGCTCAAGTTGGAAAACAGTTGTTGTTGTTGTTGATGATGATGATGATATTTTTGTTGTGTGCTGTCAAGTCGGAACCAACTCATAGCTGACCCTCCAGTGGGTTTTCAAAGGTAGTAAATGTTAGGGAGCTCTGGTGGCCTAGTGGCAAGAAGCTGCACTGCAATCCCAGAGGTGTACGTGGTTTGAATCCACCAGATGGTCTGCTGGAGAAGGAGGGGCAATCTCCTCCTGTACCAGTCAGATCCGATTTGACGGTACATACACACAAAAATAATAAAAAATTAAAAAAAATTTTTAATTGTCTTTGTGTGTGTACCGTCAAATCGGATCTGACTGGTATAGGAGGAGACTGTCCCTCCTTCTCCAGCAGAACATCTGGTGGATTTGAACCGTACACCTCTGGGATTGCAATACACCTTCCTGCCACTAGGCCACCAGTGCTCCCTTAAAAAAAATTTTTAAAGGGTAGTAAATGCATGGGAGGAGATTGTCCATTCTTCTCCCACAGAGCAGCTGGTGGATTCGAACCACATGGCTTTGGGATTGCAGCACAAGTTCTTACCACAAACTCCCTAGAACTCCCCAACAGAAAGGTACAATGCAGGGCTGAACGGGGATCAGCAAACAGGTCATCAGCAGTGTTGGAGGGCTACAACCATAGTGTCAGCCATTTAAACCCAACACTGTGGACACAAGAGTCAAATACTGCTGGGTGGTGGCCTCCACTATGACCCCTGGGAGGGAAAGGACCCTCCCTCAGATAGGGGCCTTGCAGCTGGAAGAAGGCCCAATGTCATCCCAGATCTCTTTGCTTCCGTGCAGCCGGACCCAGCGGGCCGGGACATATCCATCCGTCCTCTGCTGGAACACTGTGAGAACACCCACATGACCATCTGGCTGGGCATCGTCTATGCCTACAAGGGGCTTCTCATGGTAGGTGCAGAGCGGGAAGCCATGGGGGGACCGGGGCGGGGAGAAGTCTCTGTCAGGGCCCTCTCCCCCAGGGGCCTCATCAACATAAAGATGAACAGAGTGCATATGGCTAAGCACTGATCCTGTGTCAGCCACACGTTATCTTGGTGTACACCTCACCTCTATGCAAGGAATAACAAGCTACATCCCCATTTCACTGATGAGAACACTGAGGCTTGGTTTTCTTGTCCAAAGCCATGCAGCTACTATGTGCGTGGCAATCAAATTCTTAACCAGAAAGTAACCAAAAACCCCCTCTGAGTCTTCCTCATAACCGTCACTGGACTGCTCCCAGGAGCATCTCACTGGGTTCTTTGTAAATGTGTGGGAGGTGAGTGGAGTAATCCCCATTCCGTGGACGAGGACAGTTAGGTTTGGAGCAGGTAGTGGAAAAGGGGAGCCTCAAGTAGATGGGTCGATACAAGGCACAGCAACAAAGGTGAGGACGGGGTTCTCTTGCACAGAGAGTTGCTATGAGTCAGAGTCGATTCAGCACACCTATGACGGCCACCTGGTAGCCAGCCATCACCAAACCCCATGTACTCCACTGCTGTTAGCTGCCGAGTCAGCCCCACCCGTGGCAGCAGCATCCACACACCAGGGAACAGAGTGCTGCCGAGCCCTGCACCTCGCCCTGGTCAGCCTGGGGGTCAAACCCTGTGATCCGTTGTCTGATTCTCTGGAAGTAGAGAGCCAGGCTTTTCTAGACCGAACATTAGACCAAAGCTCAAGCCTCCACTCCAGGCAGGTGGTGGCTGCACCTGAGGTTCATGAGCTGGGACTCCAGCCCAGGTCTCCTGCATGAAAGGTGCTAATTCTACCACTAATGCCTCATCGTCTCGTCCTACCCACCTTTTAAAATCAAAGGTCACAAGCCAAACCCGCCAAACACAATTGTGCAATTTCACAGTTAGGAAGGACTGGAAAGGCCAGCCCACTGTCCCTTACCTTCTCTCTCACAGACTGGACAAATGGGTCCTCTACTTAACATCCCTCCAGGGACAGGAAGCTTGTCACTGCACCCACTTCATGTCTTCCATAGACAAGTCCAGCCGTCATCTGTCTCTGTATGACCTTCATGTAGAAGCCAAAATTGAAATCTTTAAAAGTCACATGCACAGAAATGTCTTCTGCTCCCAGAATATATTCTTTTCTAACACTACTTGATCCCCTATCTTTCAAGAAGCCCCCTCAGAATAGCATGTGTTAGGGGGTCTTAGGTGAAGACTGCCTCCTACTTCCCATCAGTTGATTTCCGTAGAGGCCTTTTAATCCTGTTATATGGCCGCCTCACTACCCTGGCTACCGTCAGGAACACAAGAGGCAATGACCTTGGAAGTGTCCACAGGAAATGGGATCTTCAGGACTGGTCAGAAGTGCTGGGTTTGAGGAAGAAGAGACTTTGGGACATGGTCACCAGAAACTCAGAAGAGTTTTCAAACTATTAGAGATTTGAAGCCAAAGGTCAGACTTGAAGGCAAAGCTATGACCACACCACGTTGTGAGAATCAGGTGTCATGTGAAGAAGGATTTTTTTTTTTTAATTTTTTATTATTTTGTGTGTTTACCATCAAATCAGATCTGACTGGTACAGGAGGAGATTGCCTCTCCTCCAGCAGAGCATCTGGTAGATTCGAACCTCGTACTTCTGGGATTGCAGTGCAGCTTCTTGCCACTAGGCCACTAGAGTGAAGAAGGATTTGAGTAACAGCAGTGTCCATGTGGGCTGGAGAGCCCTGGGAAGGAACCAGCTCCCTGGCACAGAAGATGTCGTGTTAATGGCCTGCATTCCAGCGTCCAAATTGGACCCCTGGAGATCAGAACTAGAAGCTCTCCAACATCCCTTCCAGCCTCCATGTTCCTTGATTCTGAGCGTCTGTGAAATTAGATTATGGTGAATCATACTAGCATCTCGAAACTTACATCTTATCTGTAATGTTTTGATTATTCATTATCTTCCTCAGCCTTCTGCTTCCCAAAGTGGTTAGAGATGACTGTACTTCTTCCAGTGAAGCAAAAACCTCCAGCCAGATCATGTCAATAAAAGCTGTGTTTGATAGCCGAAGTGCTCTGCCATTTGCAATGTAAACGAGAAGCCCTTCCAGCCCTCCTGGCAAGCAGGGCTTGTTGGTGGACTGGTTGAATCCAGTCTCAGAGACTAACACCCCACCCCACAGCCTTTCTGTTTGGTGCTACAGAATCTCAGGGCTGGAAAGGGCACACCCAGCCCCTGTAGGCCCACCCGTCAAATGTTTCAGCCACTGCATCTGACTTGAGCATCCCCAACAAGTGTTCATTCACTTGCTGCTTCCTTACCTCAAGTGACGGCATGCTCACCCCCTGAAGAGCAGCCTCTACCTTCCATAAATCATTTCCTGTGACTGAACGCTTAGAAATATATTCACCCACAGTTTGGAGGCCAGAAATCCAAAATGAGGGTGTCCACAGGCCGCACTTCGTCCAAAGGTTCTTGGAAAGAGTGCTTCCTGGCCTCCTGCAGTTTCTGGTGGCTCCAAGAATTGACTTGCAGCTGCATCATGCCGGTCTCTGCCTTGGTATGCAGTCAGCTCCCTCTCTGCATAACAACTCAAAGACAACTCATTGCCTCCAGTCAGAACTGACTCCTAGCTGACGCTCTAGCGGGCTTTCAGAGGCTGCCAATCACATGGGAGGAGCTTGCCCATCTTTCTCCCAAGGAGCATTCCTTTTATACGTCCACTTGTAATTGGATTTAGAGCCTATGGATAATCCAGAATGATCTTCTCTTGAGATCATTCACTTAATTACATTCTGAAAAGACTCTTTCAAAGGAGTCACCTTCGGAGGTGCAGTAGATGAGGCTGTGGATGTTTCCTTTGGGGGTCATCAAAGATGAGTTGCCTTTTCAGAAAGTTCTTCATTATCCTCACCTGAAAATTCCTCAGTATACCTTGTGCCCTTTACCCCTCATTCTGGTCACAGTCCACTCTTGCCACCCTCTTGCACTGTGGCCTTGGCCAGCCCCTTCCTCCTCTCTGGACCAGTGAGGGAGGGTGGTCTCCATCACGTCTGAGAATTTTTCCACCATGGGCTCCTGTGTATCCGTGGCTGAGCCATTGTGGGGTGAAGGATAACTAGGCAGCCATAGCACACCCCATCTGCCTTTCCTCTGTGGAGCGAGATGGTGACAACAGAACCCCTACTTCCCATACCCGCAGCCCCCCGACCCCGAGCCCCCCTCAGTTGGGCAGCTGGGCAGAGCAGGGAGCATGTGCTACACTCGGTAACGACCATCTCCCCTTTCTGTTCACCGTTTCAGTTGTTCGGTTGTTTCTTAGCTTGGGAGACACGCAACGTCAGCATCCCCGCCCTCAATGACAGCAAGTACATCGGGATGAGCGTCTACAACGTGGGCATCATGTGCATCATCGGGGCTGCTGTCTCCTTCCTGACCCGGGACCAGCCCAACGTGCAGTTCTGCATCGTGGCCCTGGTCATCATCTTCTGCAGCACCATCACTCTGTGCCTGGTGTTTGTGCCCAAGGTACCCCGCACCACCCTGGCCTCATAAGCAGCTTGCCGGCTGTTCTCTGCTTTCCAGACATTTGACTCATGCTTTTTATTCCCCCTTATAATGGAAACCATGTAAAATACTATAGAAAAGTTGTTGTTGTTGTTCTTGTATTTGTTATGGAGAAGGAACCGACTCAGCTCACCTTCCAGTAAGTTCTCAGAGGTGTCTAAATCCCATGGGAGGAGACTACTCATCCTTCTCCCACAGAGCATCTGGTGGATTCGAACTGCATGCCTCTGAGATTGCAGCACAGCTTCTAACCACTAGATAGAAAGTGCAAAAAAGAGAAGGAAAAAAAAAGAAAAGTTTCAGGGACTCACCCATTCCCACCATCCTAAAATAATCATTAATATTTTTAGGGGGGTTTTAGTCTTTTATTTTTTCTTAAGCAGCTAATAAGTGATGTTTTTTAGGAAGTGCCGTTGTAGCACACCTCTCATTCTGAATTTTCTTCCCCTGGTCTTTCCCCCACATGTTCATAGCCGTCACTGAGGGGTAATGTCATCACTTTACTTTACCTTTGATCCCCAGCTGGTGAATAACACAGTCATTTCCAGTTTTTTAATAGTATCAGTAAACTTTTTTCCTAGACAACACATTTTCATTATCCCAGTTATTCCCTTCGGCTTATTGTTATTGTTATAGGCCATCAAGGCAGAGCCGACCTGTAGCTGACCCTCCAGCAAGTCTTCAGAGACAGTAAATCACACAGAGGGAGATTACCCATCCTTCTCCAGCAAAGCACCTGGTGGATTTGAACTACATGCCTTTGATATTGCAGCACAGTTTCTTGCCACTAGGCCACCAGAGCTCCCTCTAGTCCCAGACAGAGTATTGTTGGGTCAAGTGGAGTAACAGCTTTTAACTTTTCCATTTTAGTCCCTTCCATTTCCCGCTCATCTGAAGGGCTGACCTTCTAGACCAGCCAGGAGAGAGATTTCATTTGCTGTCCAGCAGCTGGCCGGTGAGGCAGAGGCCTTGACTCTTGGGAGCTGCTGCTGGGCTGGGTAGAGGCCTTGGATCTTAGAACTTGGGCCTTGGATCTTGGATCTTGCATAGAGTGTACCCTGCTGGTCTGGGTACAGAAGTGAGCCTTGAGTTGGGAGCCTCCTGCTAGTATATCTAGAGAGAAGCCTAATCTGGATGGAGCTCAAAACTATGTCAAACTGCAAGTGAAGAAACTGATCAGCGAGAGGAAGGGGACACGAGTCCAAGTCTTACACAGACTGCCCTCCCGGTTCCATGTGCTGCAATGGGGGTGGGAGGAAGGAGCCCTGGAGTTCTATCTTCATCACTGCCTCTCTCCCTTCAGCTCATCACCCTGAGGACAAACCCAGATGCAGCAACTCAGAACAGGCGGTTCCAGTTCACACAGAACCAGAAGAAAGAAGATTCCAAAACATCCACTTCGGTCACCAGCGTGAACCAAGCAAGCACATCCCGCCTGGAGGGTCTGCAGTCGGAAAACCATCGGCTGCGGATGAAGATCACAGAGGTACCTCCCACAGCGCGGCCCTGAGCCTCTGTCACCTGTCTGTGTGATCCCATATGGCTCTCAGAGCTGCTCTGGTCCCCTCCTCGCCCCCCAGTGCCCTGCATCAGGGCCGTAGGATCCCATCGCTGCCATGACATGCGGAGATGTAGGCGGCCTGGCAGCATCCGGCAGGAGTTTATTGCCCGCCTGACCCAGGCTCTTGGAGTTCAGCAGTCCTCAGACTCAGGTGTCCACAGAAAGAAGGCTGTAGCAGGATTGTAGGAGGTCCCGGATTGTAGCAGCTTCTTGACTGCCTCCTCTCTCAATACACTTCAGCTTCTTTTGCTGTCTCTCAGCCTCTTTCTTTCTCTCAACCTCTTTTTTTTTCTTTTTAAGAACTGTTTCTTTTGTTTCTTTGGATTGGTTTGCATGCTTTCCTTTTATTCACAGGGGTTTCATACAGTCATTCCCATCCATTGTTTTTTGTTTGGCTTTTTTTTTTATTACCTCCATTCATTCACTGTTGCATACTTTCCTCCCTGTCCACCCCTCCCCGCAAGTTCCCTATTCTCTTTGAAAAGTAAGAAAAAATTCTTTTTTACATTTATATTTTTTATAACCTCTGTCTTTCTCAATCTCTCTTTTAAAAGCCCTTCTTCTCATTATCTCTCAACCTTTCTTCTCTCTCTCTCAAACTGTCTCAGCCTCCTTCCCACAACCTCTGTCTCTCTCAAGTCGTCTTTCTCTCCCTCTTTCCTCTTCACTCATTCACTCTCCCAGCACATCCCAGTAAGTCCCTGTGTCTGTTTAATGCAACACAGGAGAGAAGGGCTTGAACAGAAACTCTTTTCAAGGAAGAGTTTGCTGCAGTAGCCCTGGCCTATATCCTGAGGGTTCTTCAAAGGTTCTTCAATATTCCACAGAGGCCATAACCAGATTTCTTTGAACCAGCATCCAGTCTAAAATTCTGGACCTCCCATACCATGGAGTTGTTGTTGTTTTGTGTCAGAGAGTTGGAACCCAATCCATAGCTGCCCCTCTAGCTAGTTTTCAGAGGCAGTAAATCAATTGCCTGTCCTTCTCGTGCAGAGCAGCTGGTGGATTCGAACCACATGCCTTTGGGGTTGCAGCACAGCTTCTTACTTGACCACCAGGGAGAGGAGACTAAATGACTTTCCCTTCTCTTCCCCTCCCTTTGAGTTCAAGGGTATGACTGACCCTGAGGTCTGCAGGCCTGGTGTTTAATAGGAGATTCTGGTTCAGTGAGTATCATCCGAAAGGAACAAAGGAATTTGTGTCTAGCTAAGTGCAAAGAAGCCCCGAAAGAAAGAAAAGAAGTGTTTATGTTTCTCCCACATAACAGTGCAGAGAAGTCTCTGGGCAGAGACCAGAGCCCCGTGAGCCACTTCTGAGCTCCAGAGGCTTCACTGCCCTGGCAGGGACGGGACCGGGGTCTCGGACTCAATTGGAGTCTCTGTCTTCCAGCTCGATAAAGACTTGGAAGAGGTCACCATGCAGCTGCAGGACACTCCAGAAAAGACCACATACATTAAACAGAACCACTACCAAGAGCTCAATGACATCCTTAACCTCGGGAACTTCACCGAGAGCACAGGTGAGGGGCCGGGGACCCTGCGGCGTGGGGAGCTGGGTTCCAGACACCAGACACCCAACTTCCATTTTACAGGTGAAGAAACTGAGGCCTGGAGGAAGGAAGGGACTGGTGTGGAAGGTTTAGAACCCACCTCTTCTGACTTCAGTTCAATGTCTGTTTTGGAACGGGACCCAAGATTGTAGTTTCTCAGCCCCTGGGGTTCCAACTTCTCATGGACACATGTCCCAGCATTCCTCACATGCTTTTATTGGCACATCACACATTCTCACATTCGCTTCCTTAACATATGACTGTTCAAATGGGACTGACAATGTACAGAAAGAAATGGCAGGCTAAAGCCTAGTGAGGCTCAGCCTGCTCTCACCAAAGTGCACATTTTAAATAAAGCTCTGGGTTCAAATCCACCAGCTGCTCCGTAGGAGAAGGATGGGCATTCTCCTCCAGTGCAATTAACTGTCTCTAAAAACCTGCCAGAGGGTCAGCTATGGGTCAGTTCCAACTTGATGGTACACAACAACAACACCAACACACACACACACACACACACACACCCTGTAAAATAACGCTCTCCTCCCTAGTCACTTGGCAAATGCAACACAAACCATCATTTTGCCTACATTTTGATGTGGCTTTTAAAGATCACCAGTGTTAATAAGAAGGTGTGAAAATGAGGTCGCTCTTACAGGTTTTTGGAAGTCAGTCTTGCACCTTCCAGATGTTACTTGAAATGTCTTGATCTGATAACTCCACTACCAGGAACCTACATTGTGGGAATATTCAATTACAGAGACCCAGGTAGCTGATGGTTAACACAGAATTACTGTGGGAGGAAGTAGAACTCACTCATGTTTTTGTCATAAAGGTGGTTCCATTCTGGTACAGCCAAACAGAGTATTTGGTACAGCTATTGAAATGAAGTCCGTCTGTTTATGTTGCTATGGACAGATCGCCAGATCAAGAAAAGCCCCACAATACATTTTGATGCACACGCATGCATACACATATACAAGTGTAAAAGGGGAGTCCCGGCAGTACAGTGTTTAAGCACTTAGCTGCATACTGAAAGGTCAACAGTTCGAATCCACCAGCAGCTCCACAAAAGAAAGACGTGGCAGACTGCTTCTATGAAAATTGTAGCCTGGGAAACCTTACGGGACCGTTCTCCTCTGTCCTATAGGTTTGCTAGGAGTTGGGTTTGATTTGGGGGGGCTTATGTGTAAATGGATTTTTTATTATTATTGAAAGTATCCACAGCAAAATACACACTCATTCCGCAATGTCTACATGTACAATTCAGTGACACTGATTACAGTCTTCAAGCTGTGTGACCACTCTCACCACCCTTTTCCACATTTCCTCCCTCATCCACATAAACTCACTGCCCGCTGCCAAGCTCAGTATCTAACCCTTCAGGTTGGTGTTATCCGTTTGAGCCCAGATAAATATTCTTTTTTTCACATTGCTTAAATTAAAAATTTATTATATTAATATTATTTTTATATGAATTTATTTACAAAACTTAAATTGTTTTTCAGAACAGATTCTTCCAATTTGCCTCATCCCAGATAAATATTCTTGAAAAGAGCATAGTGACCAGGATAGACGTAAATGAGATTATGAAAAGGTTTGAGAAACAAACATCAGATTGTTCATGGAATTCACCTGTGTGGAAGGACATTGTCTAGGTGGGAAGAGAGCCTTCCTTTTAAATGCTTACCCACCCGTGAAAAGTGCCTTAATACAAGAACAGCTCTTTCCTAAGTTAGGTTAGCTGAGTTGGCAGACAGAACATGCCTTGTGCATTTCAAGTTGCCCTAATTCCACCCCCAGGCGGGCGAGGTCTCAGTTCACTGCCTGGGTCCCTAAGAGCCTTACAGAGAACCCAGTGGGTTGAACAGAAAGGAATGATGGGTTTGTTCCTGTTCTCTCTCCCTGTATAGCATCCTAACAAGATTTCATTTTTACTTTTAACAGGAAAGTTAACAGAATGTGTTCTAACACTGTTGTTTTGTGTTCAGATGGTGGAAAGGCCATTTTGAAAAATCACCTCGATCAAAACACCCAGCTCCAATGGAATACAACAGAGCCCTCTCGAACATGCAAAGACCCCATAGAGGATATAAACTCCCCAGAACAGTAAGTGCCTTTGCCAGTTATGGCCCACGGGCATGCTACTTCTGTATGGCAGTTTGTAAGATGTTGCCACATGCACTGTTTTATTAAACTTTACAGCAATCCCATGATAAAGGTCAAATTAAAACATTTACAAGTCCAAAAACTAATATTAAAAGAGGGAGGTGAGTGTCAGAATTCATTTTGTATAAAAGATTTCTAAAAAGATTTTTTAAAAGTAATTGCAGTATATCAAAGGATAAATAGCTTTAATCCTTTATCAATCAGTGAATGCTTATCGAGGAAACCAGGAAAAGATGTTTAGCACTCACTAATAATATAAATAAACCTAGAGGTTTTTAACCTATTAGTGGTTTTGAAAGTATGGGTTTTAGAAAAGCACATTACAGGATGATATGTACAGTATGATCCCATTATGATTTCTTGAAGCCTTTTTAAGCATTGTATGTTTTGGCACTGCTTTCTCCTCTGTACACATCAAATATGGAGTTCCAGAAAAGAGGAGGAATTTGTCAAGCTCTCCAGTCACTAAATGCAGAGCATAGTGTTGCTATTTGAGTCTGTCCAACCCCACGTTCTGTCCACTGTAGCACACGACCTTTGTTATATATAGAATTTATTCTTGCTGAATGTCTTTGAGGAGCCTTGTTGGCACAGTGGCTAAGCACTGAGCTACTACCAGAAAGGTCAGAGGTTTGAAACCACCAGCAGCTCAACAAGAGAAAAGAGCAGCCTTGCCGTATTTCATTGTAATACTTTATTATGTCTTCTTAAGCTTCATTTTGAAATCTGCTCAGCTCTTTTATTCATCATTTATTCAGTTTTGCTTTAGATGCTCTATGTTCAAGAGCAAGTTCTAGAGTCTCTTCTGACATCCATTTACATCTTCTTTTTCCTGTTGTTTTTTCTTTTATATTAATGAAAGTTAACAGAGACTTTGGCTTTCCATTCATTCATTTTTGCACTTTTCTCCCTGCCCATCAATCCCCGCCCCCCAGTTCGCTCTTCTCTTTGAAAAGTAAAAGAAAAAATTCTTTGATTGTTATACAATCCCTCCCCCCAAGTCCGCTCCACTATGCAGCCTTCGTTCTGGACTCCTGTCATGACAATAATACCTAATCATATATCCCTTTTAAACAGTTCTCTCCCTCATCTGTTTCAATGCAGTATACATTATTTATTCCATCTTTCTCAGTCCCCCTCCCCAACCTCTACATCAGTCCTCTCTTATAACAGTGGCACTAGGCCGTATTTGTCTTTTTGTGACTGAGATCTTTCACTCAACATAATGTCCTCCCTTTCACACTCTTCACGAGTGTGTATCGGGTTATGTGTTGGGATGCAGGAAGAGCAGGAGTTGAAACCCACCCACCACTCCTCGGGAACAAGAGGAGCCAGTCTCTTCCCAGAAAGAGTCACAGCCTCGGAAACCCAGTAGCGTCACCATCCGGTGGAATCGGCTCCAGGGCAGTGTGTTTGGCGTGATTTTTAAGGGCAGGTGATAAGAAGGCACAAGAGGGCCTTTTCAGGGTTGGCAAGATAACCTAGCCACCAACGAAGCCAAAAGACTGAGAAGACATTCTGAAATAATTAGGCACAAAGAAGACAGGCAGTGGCAGAAGGACCAGCAAGGAAGGACCGAGCAGCTAAGGCGCCTTTCAGAAAAGAGTTCAAAGTTGAATTGATTTGGAAGCTTGAAAAAGAATGCAGAATACCTTTGCATAATTATAGCTCAGACCTTATTCTTAGTTGTACTGTTAACAACACTTAAAACAATCACCTCCAGATTCTGGCCTGAAGCTCATGAAGATTGTCTTTCTTGTTCAGTGTTAACGATTCTTGAGGCTTTAATTGGTACGTATTGGCCTCCATAGATACCCACAGGTTGGGGGGATAGTTAGATGAGTGCATTGGAAGTTCTTGGATTTGGGGAAAAGCATGTCCCCACCATCAGCTTTTTGGCCAGAATGAGCCCATGGAACTTTCTGGTAAGCAGGCAGATAACCTCCACTAACACTTCTCTCTCCTCCCCCTCTCTCTCCCTGCCGCAGCATCCAGCGCCGGCTGTCCCTCCAGCTTCCCATCCTGCACCACGCCTACCTCCCATCCATCGGAGGCGTGGACGCCAGCTGTGTCAGCCCTTGCGTCAGCCCCACCGCCAGCCCCCGCCACAGACATGTGCCACCCTCCTTCCGAGTCATGGTCTCGGGCCTGTAAGGGCGGGGGGTCCTGAGGCCGGGGCCTCCCCCATGACAGAACCACACTGGGCAGAGGTGTCCACTGCAGGAACCCTGGCCAATCTGGCCTCTGAGAGCTGGACACATGGCTGGCCTCTCAGGACTGCTTGGAGGGCACGCAGCTGGACAGGACGGGGGAATTGGCACCTGACCTCGAGCCTTATTTGTGAAGTTTTTATTCTTTCACAAAGAAGAGGAGTGGAAATGACTTCTCCCCAATGTCTGCGGCACAAGGAGGAGCAGGAACATTTGAAACTTGCAAAAACAAAACAAACTAGACAAGGAGGGAGGCATTAGGACTCCAGCTACAAGTCACAGAGCAGAGGGGGCCTCACAGCCTTGGAGAAGGCCAGGGGCTTCTGGAGAAACCTCCACTGCGCCCTGCCCACACCCCCCCTGGCTGCAGACCCCCAGACTAGCCCGTCTCCCCTAGGGGGGAAAAGGCAGGCTGGACAGTGGCCTGTCCCTCCTGAAACAGGGGGTGAGTCTGCAGGACCTGCAGACAGGCCCAGCCCTGGCCAGGCGGACAGAGGGCTGGGCTCCCAGAGCAGGCTGGCCAGGCCTCCCGGTGGGACCTCCATCTGAACCAGATGTTTGTTACTCTGATAAATGCCACCCACTAACCCAATAACATCTGTCCCGGGACCGTGGGGATTTAGGGCACGTCACTCTGCAACACGCGCTGCAGTGTTTGCCGGCAGTCCCATCACGCACCCACCACATTGGCCGTGTCCTGTGTTCATAGCAGGTGTTCCCGGTAATAAGGGGGACCACCCCAGTTAGTCATGGAATGTCCATTCCCAATCAACTCGATCAAGAAAGATTGTGCACTTTAACCTCTCTCATCAGGGCCCAAGGGCTGACCGGCATTCATTTTTCTTTTTTTTTCCCACTGACTTTGTTTCTGACCAAAGTGAATCAGGGGCATTCTGTGAAAAAGACATCCCCATAGTCAGAGGGGAGACAGCCACTGGCTGGGGGCTTCCCGTGGCTTCCCAAAGGTGACCTTCCATCTATCCAGGCCAGTGACCTCTCACCTAAGGGCCACTGGGAGTGACCAGTCAGCACACTGATTCTCATGCAGAAGACGGCGCTTCCCTATTAAAATAACTGTACCCCAAAGAACACTGGCCTGGGAGTCAGGCAGAGTGGGGTCCAGGACCTCAGTCCACTGCTCACTCCCTGTGTGACCTTGGGCAGGTCACGTGTGTCTCTGAGCCTCTGTTTCCCCTCTAACAAAATGAGGTTGAAACAGCACCCGTCCTGCCTACCTCACAGGGTCACTCTGAGGATCACAACTTGATCTCCTCCAGGAAAGCTTTGTACCAAACAGTGACATGGCCCTGGCCTGTGAGGTATTCTTCATGACCGTGACCTTTAGCCCTCAGCACCGCAGGGCCTGGCTCAGAGAGTTCTCAGCTCAACCCCCCCACCCCAACCACCGGCCTGGAGCTGGGTTCCCACCGGCTTTCCTGACTTTCCCAGACAGGTTCATTCTTTGCTGAAAGGCCTGAATGATGGCGTCTAGGACGTCTGTCTGCACAGCGGAGCAGTTGGCTCACCCCCTGATGAAACCTATCGGCAGCTTCAACAGGCAGGCAATAATCCCCCTCAGAACCACTCCAGTCAGGAATACGCTGTTGTCTGTCACCAGGCTGGGACGATAAGGGCACACACTGGCACCTTCCCGCCGCCAACATCTCACCACACACCCCTATTGCACGTAGGATAGCTCTCCCCCGCCCCCCAGAGAGGTTATGGAGGTACTGTAGCTTTTTAGGGGAAAGAAAAAAAACAAAACGTTAGCACATCACAGGTCAAGTTGAAGTCCTCTGTTTTTAGGCACTAAGACTTGGTGTTGTCACTCACTGTGTATTACCAGTATTGACTTGCTTTCTTGATTTCACCAAAACCAGATTGAATTTCAAGGACCACATTAATTTTTCAAAAGGAAAGAGACAATTAATTGTACATAATGTATACACATACAAAAAAGTTACCTGTAGAAATATTACTCCAGCATAGCAGGAAAAAACAAACAAACAAAACAAAATCAAAAGTATTGGGCTGTCGGAGGTGAGTGTGCGTCTGTGACCATTGTAACTCCTGACTGTGCGCAGTCTTTCTAACCCACCAAGTACATTCTGTCTTAATGATACTGTAGGTTCACCCTTCTTTTGGTTTCTTTGCGTTTTCTTCCATTTCCCTCACCAATAACAAGACCCACAGAAGTGACTCGAGCTCTGTAATGGTCTTTTCTACGCAGCCAACATACACTGTCCATTCTGAAGAGGCTCCGGCCTGAAGGCATTTCCCAATGATGTTTAGTGCACAAAAATGCTTTAAATTAGACTGGAACTGCCAGAATCCAATGTACCTGAGGAGTTTCTCGTACCCTTACTGCATGGTATCAATTTTTAATAAATTGTTGCAGATTTGTTTTTATGAATAAATGGGGAAAAGCTGTCGTCTTTAATGCCTCCTCATCCACCATGCAGGTCAGGTCAGGTCACATTCCCCTCTCTGCTCAGAAATTCAGGGATGATCTCTGAGTTGTCCACTCAACGTTACCCCTCCTTCCAGAAACTTCCCTCCCTTGACTTCTATTGATACTAGCAGAGCCACCATGTGGCCCTGACTTCTGATCATGGGGACTGTGTAAGGGTGGGACCCTGACCCAGACTCGATTTTCTTATAAACACGGTTCTTCCCCATAAAGAAGTCTGTTGTGACTGCTGTTGTGCCCTGTAAAGTCAGAACTGACTCACAGCCAACCCTCCTGCCTGTTCTGAGGCAGCACATTGCACGGGTGAAGACTGCCCATCTCTCTCTCCCACGGATCAGCTGGTAGATTGAACCACATGCCTTTGGGTTGACAGCACAACTCCTTACCACTGAGCCACCAGTGTTTCCTGTATAGAAGTCTAGTCTGCAAGAGAAAATAGAAACTAAGGCAGGTCCCCGAAACCCTGGTTCTTGCTTCTGAACACAGGTGGGTTGTTCAACCTTCCCTGGGTTCTCTGCGCACTCCTCAGATCTTCCAGGGATTGCTCTGTCTAAGCTAGTTCAAGTTGTAAAGAAAGTGCTGGTGATCTACTCCCAAAGCCCAGCTCATGTGTCACAGCGGTCCAGACAACTGATCCTGGGGATGGCATAGAACTGGACAGCATCTCGTTCCATTGTGCATGAGCCTTCAGCAGTAGGGGGCTGGCCCAAAGGCAGCTAACATCAGAAGTTCAAACTGGTTTCTTATCACGTAAACCAGAGCTTCCTGACTGCATCCTCAGCCCTATCCCCTCCTCCAGGTGACCACAGCCTGTCCAGAGTTGGGTCCATGCTCTGTCTCCAGCTTGCCACTGCCTCTCCATAGGCCTACAGTATCTCCCCACATCCTCCATCATGCTGGACCAATAACCCCATCCATCTTTCCCATCCTTTATGGTTCCATCCAAGACCTCTTCCCAGCTTCCCAGACAAGACACCCTCCCTCACATTTTCTATCCTGCTGGCACTGTCCTTCACTCATGACACTGGATTCATTCTCACATGGCCCTCGTATTCCTGCCTCAGACCACAGTTCCCCAAGTCATGTCTGCACCAGCATCAAGCCCTCCACAAAGCTTTGAAGAATGGAATGCTTGATTGAAGTATCTTCAGGCTGGTTGCTGGGTCCAGAGCAAGGGCAGGGATGGGTGTCCAGGATGAGACACTTGAGACCGTGTTATTGGCATGGGTCCTTAGTCATAGATTTCAGAAGAGTCACCAAGGAGCTGACCTCCTGAATCCTGGGCCACATAACATCTGCTCCACGGCCACTGCTCCACACCACCTTGCATGCAGACCAATCTGATGGGGAGACAGCACAAGGAAGAAATCACAATAGCCTATGTATACTTCATTTATAGTGGGGAATCAGGACATGCTTCCAGGAGGAGGTGGTGTCCATAAAGGGCCAAGTTCGTGGACATGAGACCTGTGTGGTAACTTAAAGGGAGTTTCACGGTTGGCTGAGTACTCTGTTGTCTCTGTCTTCAGATTCTTAATGACTTTTGAGCAAGGGGTCCTGCATTATTATTTGTACCAGGCTCTACACATACCTTAGAACAGAAGAGGAGGAACTAGAGGAAACCAGGCCAAGTGAGAGAGGGAGGCATGGGGAGGGAAATAGATGTCCTGCTGCTGTGGACTGTGTCTGCTGGGCTGCAATAACTGATTGTCATGTGTTAATCATTCATTCACTGCCCAGTCCTGCAAGCCATGTGACCTTAAGATTCCTGACAGATCTGATCACATAGATGTGCAGTGACATGTGTCATATCTCAAAATCTCCAATCCTGGGTATTTACACGACTGTGGCTTTAGGTAACTCACTCAACCTTTGTGAGTTTCTGGTCCCACGTCGGCAAAGTGAACATGATACCTTACCTAAGGCTTTGCTGAGGCCCACAAGGACTCATGTGGGTGAAGGTGCCTTGTAAACACTGCCTGTATTGGTTCGGCACACAGACAAGAAAAACAAAAAGCAGACAGTTATGCTTAGTGCAGCCAGCAGTCTCTTGATCTCTCGGCCAAGTAAGTCAGTCAGTGATGTTTTCGGAGATAGTAAATTACATGAGGAGACTTGTATCTTTCTCCTGTGGAGCAGTTGGTGGATTTGAACCTCCTGCCTTTGGGGTTGACAGCACATCTCTTATCACTATGCTATCCAAGCTCCCTAAGAAGGAAACTTGGGGGAAATACCTTTACATGACAATGTTGAGATTCTAAAGTGAAGACTTAAAAGACAATAGAATGTTCTGTTAGAAAAGACTAGAAATTGGTGGTAAAGAAAGGAGAACGGGGAAGAATGAGGGGGGTCATAGTCAAGTAGCATGGAATGTGGATGGAGGACTCTATACGAGATGTCCAACATTTGATTTTAAATCTGTGTCACTGTGAAATGAACCCTTCCCTTCACCTTACTCCCCCAAAATGTCCCTAAACCTTCAGTAAAACTTACTATACAAACAAAGATCTTGTGGATTTTTTTTAAAATAATACTGCAATTTTGATGAAAGTTTACACAACAAATGAGGTTCCCACTTGACAGTCTTGGAACAATTTGTTCAGCTAGATTAGTTACATTTTTCACAGTGTGTCAACATTCTCTTTAATGTGCATTCTGGTTGTTCCCTTTTCTGTACTCTAGTTTCCCTATCCCCTTCATTATCTTATCTATCTTTAGAGTAATTAAACTTCTGGGTTCACTACAGATGGCTTCTTTGGGCCTTGTGGACTTGATGGAAATGAAGGAAAGGAGGAAATTCTATGTTTAGATTGAGCCGCCTATTGTTATGTGCTGTCAAGTCGTTTGTGACTCATAGCGACACTATGTACAACAGCCCTAAACCCTGCTCTATCCTGTGCCAATCGCATTGCCTCTGACACACTCATCCCAATTACCCCAGTCACTGAATCAATCCACCTCATAGAGGGTCTTCCCCTCCTGCACTGTCCCGCCACCCTCCCAAGCATGACGTCCCTCTCCAAGGACCTATCTCTCCTTACAACATGTACAAAGTATGTCAGAAGAAGCCCCAGAATCCTTGCCTCCAAGGAGTAGCCTGGTTTAACCCTCTCCAGGATAAATCTGTTGGTTTTCTTGGCAGTCCATGGTACATTCAATACTCTTCTCCAGCACCACAGCTCAAAGGCATCAATTCTCCTTCTATCCTCCCTAGTCATTGTCCAACTCTCTGATGCATATCAAGCGATTGCAAAGACCATGGCCTGTATCAGGTGCACCTTAGTCTCCAGAGAGATACCATTGCTCTTGAGCACTTTGGAGAGGTCCCTAACAGCAGACTTTCCCATCACAATACATTTTTTTATTTCCTGGCTGCTGGTGCCAAGAGTGTTGACCGTGGAGCCGAGCAAACTGAAGCTGTGAACAATCTCAATCTCTTCGTCATCCATCCTGATGCTACCAATTGGTCCAGTGGTGAGAATCTTTGTCTTCTTGACATTGAGCCTCAGTCCATACTGAAGGCTGAAGTCCTTGACCCTCTGCAGCAAGTGCATGAGGTCCTCCTCAGTTTCAGCAAGTAGGGTTGTGTCATCTGCATAACGCAGATTGTTAATTGATCTTCCACCAATCCTGATGCCACACTTCTCCTCATAGAGCCCAGCCTCCCGGATAATCTGCTCTGCATACAGGTTGAAAAGGTACAGAGATAGGACACACCCCTGGTGTACACCCTCCCCAGTTTTGAACCATGCAGTGTTACCCTGCTCTGTTCTGATGACTGCCTCTTGGTCCAAGTATAGGTTTCGCATTAGCACGATTAAATGTTCTGGGATTCCCATTCTTCTCAGAGTCAGCCACAGTTTGTTATGATCCACACAGTCAAACGCCTTTGCATAATCAGTGAAACACAGATATTCTTCTGGTATTCCCTGCTTTCAGCTACGATCCATCTAACATCAGCTACAATATCCCTGGTACCACAACCCCTTCTAAACCCTGCCTGGCAGTTCTCTGCTGATGTGCTGTTCCAGTCGTTTTTGGATAATCTTCAGTAGAATCTTCCTTGCACGTGAAATCGATGATATTGTTCTGTAGTTTCCACACTCAGTTGGGTCACCCTTCTTTGGAATGGAAACAAATATAGATCTCTTCCAGTCAGTTGGCCAAGTGGTTGTTCTCCAGATTTCTTGACACAACTTGGTGAGCACACCCAGGGCAGCATCTGTTAGCTGAAATATGTCAATTGGTATACCATCTATTCCTGGGGCCTTATTTTTTGCCATTTCCTTCAAAGCAGCTTGAACTTCTTCCTTCATCACCATAGGCTCTTGCTCAAATGTTATTTCATTAAATTCTTCTGTATCTGCCAGTTCCTTTCAATACAATGACTCAGTATATTCCTTCCATCTTCTTTTAATACTTCCTGGATCATTTAATATTCTGCCTAAAGCATCCTTGATTATAGCAACTCTAGGTTTGAATTTGTTCTTCAGTTCCTTGAGCTTAAGAAATGCTGAACGAGTTCGGCCCTTTTGATTTTCCAACTCTAGCTCCTCCCACATTTCACTGTAATATTTGGCTTTGTCATTCCGTGCTGCCTTTTGGAATCTTCTGTTCAGATCTTTGGTGTCTTGAATTTTTCCTTGTGCTTTGGCTTCTCTATGCTCCAGTGCAATCTTCAGAGTTTCTTCTGACATCTATTTTGGTCTTTTCTTCCTCTTCTGTCTTTGTAATGACCGTTAGCATTCTTCCTGGATGATACATTTGACATCCTCCCACAACTCGTCTGGTCTTCGCTCATTAGTGTTCAAGGCCTCAAACCTGTCCCTGAGATGATTCTGAAATTCAGGTGGGATGAAATCAAAGTCATATTTTGGCCCCTGTGGATTCGGTTTAATTTTCCTCAGCTTCAGCTTGAACTTGCATATGAGTAGTTGGTGGTCTGTTCCACAATCCACTCCGGGCCTAAT